TAACCGAAGGACCACTGTACAGTTGTACCCCGCTTAACGCGGTCAATTGAACCCACAGGGTACCGTGTTAAGTGAACAACAGAACATATTGGATTAATTCCATTAGAGACTGGCTCGACCCCCAAACTCCACTTTTTGACGACACACAACTATGTTGTAGTAAAAATATTATCTTAACTTTATGATGGTATGCACACACAATTAATAATTAAGAGAAATATCAATAATATTAGGTTTTTTAACACTTACATTAGTAGAAAAGATGGCTGGGCACACAGGGATGGGGGGGTTGGTTCCGAGGCAGAGGGCAGATTATTGGCCCTCACCTGTATCAATTGTATCACTATCCACCACAGAGGCTTGCAGGGCCTCTTTGTCGAACCCCTCAAAGTTCATATAAGTCCATATCCTCACTATCATTATCACTATCACTGACTTGGGCTGGCTGTGTGTGCAGAAGAACTCGTAATGTTTTGATGACTGGGTGACCTTTGCGCAAGATCGTGTTCTACGCCAGCTTTCGCAGTATATGATGAATACAAGGCGAAACAGGCACCGAGAATGTTAGTGAAACCGCTGGGGTACACAACTAGACATGCTTTCTCTTTCTCCTCTATTCATAATGCATTACCGCCTTCTAATACATATTTCATATAGCAAACTCTGAAACTTTTAAAATATCACTTTATAGCATTATTCTTCAAAAAGAAAACATGAATAAACAATGTCACATAATTTTCCATCATGGCATATGCAAGAAATATTTTTACTTTCCAAACTACAGTATTACCCCGCCTAACGCGGTTTCACTTAACGCGTTTTTTCATATACACGCGTGCCTCGCCAGAGCTGAACTTTCACTTAACTCGGACTTTTTCCACATATACGCGTGAGTGTCCGCCTCGAGACGCTATTTTAGATTTGCCCCACCTCCACCCTGCCTGACTGCCTGTTTTAGCTCATAAAATTCATACAAATTACCCGGTTAATAATATAATTTACATTGCTGGAATTCTTATAATTTGGTGATTATTTTGAATATAAACATCATATATTTTGCATTAGACATACAAATTTTAGATAAAAATATTTTCTCTGAGTAAATATGTTATCTTTTGCAAAAATATATGACATTTATATTCAAAATATTCCTGGTCTTACAAGGAATCCAGCAATGTCAATTATATTATCCTAACTTTAGTTTGAGGTATTATTTATTACTAAAGTTAAATATTTTGGTTTTCCCACACATCTCCTTGGGACGGTTGGTGGGGGTGGGGGAGGAGGGACCGACCGACCATCTGTTACCCTGTGAAGAATATTTTTTTTTTTTATTAACTGAAGATATTTGTTTTAGCTCATAAAATTCATACAAATTACCGGTCAGAATATAATTTAAATTGCTGGAATTCTTATAATTTGATGATCATTTTGAATATAAACATCATATATTTTGCATTAGACATACAAATTTTTAGATAAAATGTTTTCTCTGAGTAGATATGTTCTCTTTTGTGCAAAATATATGACATTTATATTCAAAATATTCCTAGTCTTACAAGGAATCAGCAATGTCAATTATATTATCCTAACTTTAATCTGAGGTATTATTTAATACAAAATGTTAAAATTTATTTTTCTACCCAACATCTCTTGAAGGGAGGATTGGTGGGGGGGTGGGGGAGAGCAAGGTGGGCTACTTTGATTGACAGATAGTGTCCTGAAGAATATTTTTTTATTAACTGAAGATATTTGTTTTAGCTCATAAAATTCAAACAAATTACCCGGCAGAATATAATTTACATTGCTGGAATTCTTATAATTTGGTGATCATTTTGAATATAAACATCATATATTTTGCATTGGACATACAAATTTTAGATAAAATGTTTTCTCTGAGTAACTATATTTATCTTTTGTGCAAAAATATGACATTTATATTCAAAATATTCCTAATCTTACAAGGAATCAGCAATGTCAATTGTATTATCCTAACTTTAGTTTGAGGTATTATTTATTAAAATTTAGTGGTTTTCCCCAAAAATTTCTCAGGGGAAGAGCCAGCAGTGTAGTGTGAGAAGGGGGGAGGGAGTTGAGTCCATTATTTGAATGGACATTCTTAGCGACTGTATTTCTCTATTTCTCTTAAGTATTAATTGTGTGCATGTACCATCATAAAATTAAGATGTTATTTTACTACAACATAGTTATGTGTCGTCAAAAGTGGAGTTTGAAGTCGGGCGGTTTCTATTGATTAATCCCATATGTTCTGTTGTTCATAGCAGTTCATAGCAGGGACCCTCTGGGTTCTATTGACTGGCGTTAAGTGGGGAATTCTAACTGTACCTCGTTCACATTCCTTCTAATCTAATGATTATCATACTCCAAGTGCTAGTATTTAATCTATAGAATAAATACTAACATTATACAGTATATATAATATAAACAGTTATTAGTCATAAAAATGGGGAAACTGGGCAAAGCACAGAGCAGCAATGTTGACACTTAGTGTTTTGAGGGCGGGAGCTTCAGCTTGACCCAGTCGCGTAGGTGGCAGCATCTACTGGGCCGGCGCATAATTCAAACCCTGGAGGACTGTAGTCGGATTCGCGTTCAGAAGATTTTTTTACGAATGTGGACTAAATTCGATTTATGCGGTGAAGGACAAAAATAAAAATGTGAATAAAGTTGAGCCCCGCGCGTTGAAAGGGATAATTATCAGAAGATATTTCTAAGTTTCAACCTTGAAATTTGTTTCCAAACCCAGAAGTGAGAGAATTTTCCGGAAAATTTTTAAGCAAATTTCAATTCCTGCTATTGGAGAGTTCTGGGTTTGAGGGATTCTGGCTAATGGAGATGTTACTGTACAGTGAACCCTCGATTATCGGACGCTAAAGGGGGGGACCACCTGTCTGGAAAAGCCGATTGTCTGAATTTTCCGGCGAATAATAAATTATGTAGAAAACACCAAAAATACAGTACCCTGTACTAATTTAGTGATAAACAAATTACCGTATATAAACCATGCATTTATCTATGATAACATAATGAGAAACATTGTATCATTACTAGAGTGAATGAAATAATATTCCCACAAACAACAATTGTCAACTCTGTTTATGTTTCCCTTCTCTTCAGGCACCTGTGTCCAAGCAACTGACCAGGTCAAGCAGCGCCCAAGGGCCTAAAATGTTCTTTGCTCTGGGTTGGGAATGTTTCTTAAGGAAACTTCTAGGAAGCTTCTTAGCCCAGAACCCCCAAATTTTGGTCCGGATCTTCCAAAATCCGGATTTCCCGGGTCCGGATCTTTGAGGGTTTACTGTATTATAATATTTATTGAGGAAACTTGATATTGTACTCAACTGCCTTATTAATTTTATTATGGTTAATGATATGCTTAGAAGTATTGTTTCATAAAACAAAAAATGGTTAAAAAAATGCCTGAGTACAGTACAGTACAGTGGTCCCTCGGTTAACGAACACAATTCATTCCAGAAGGTCGTTCGTTAACCAAAACCATTGTTCGATGGGATTTTGGGTAATTGGTTCCATCTCCGAAAATTACATACAAACTAAAATAAAATGCAGTAAGTACACTTACTTTGAGGTGTGCATGTGAAGGCTCCTGGTTGATGATGATGGGAATCAGAATGGGGTGGAGGAGAGGGAGAAGAGAAGGTATTAGGGTGGAAGAGAAGTCACCCCATACTTCATGCCGCCATTTCACCCATAAAATTTTAGTTCACTTGGTGTAATTCAAGATTATTTTCTTCAAATCAACACTGCACTGCATTATATATTGTCAATATGTAAAATAAACTTCAAAATGACCAATAATTGTACTGTAAAAACGTAAAACTAGTTTATGTTCAAGAGAGTCTCAAGCAAGTTGCTTCCTCCACAGAGCAGGGACACACACTGATGCCATTTTGGGTGAGTCAAGTGGCTGTTGGGCATGCTAAAAACTAGTTTCCTGTACTTCAATTATGTTAAATAATTGTTAAAAGGACTAAAAACTTCAATATAAGACTTGGAAAATTATTGAATAGTACAACCTTCTTGATATTTACTCAAATGGTAGCAATTTAAGCCCTAAAACCGATTACTGTATTGGCGGGCTAATACTACAGCTGGTGAGCAGGCAAAAGTAAAAACACGTTGGGAAAAATTAATGGAGACCCGTTAACTGAAATTTTTACGTTAACGAAGTGAAGAATCTTATGGAAGGTAATTAGATTAACGAAATTTCGTTGACTGAGGTGTTCATTATCCGAGGATCACTGTACTGCATAAAAAAGAATTCTGATGAAATGGGGGGTTCAGACCCCCCTGGATCCACCTGCTTATTGGTTCCATCTTCCTTTCTTAACAAGCCAACTTTAGATACTAATTTAATTTTCTGTATGAGTCCACTTGTCCTATTTTAGAATTAAGCACATGAATTTTATCACTGGCAGTGAATCTCTATTTTATTGGTAAAGAACCCCCTTTCCATCTTTATTTAGGGCTTTATTTATTATTATTATTATTATTATTATTATTATTATTTATATTATTATTATTATTATTATTATTATTATTATTATTATTATTATTATTAGTATTAGTATTGGGAATAGCTCACCCAGGCACAGGTCATCGACGACAACGGGGTCTAAGGGGGGGCAGAAAAATAAGATTAAAAGAAATAAAATAGAAAAGAAAAAGATTATATTAATCTACCAGATGCTGGAAAACCAGCTTTTTGAAATGAGACATTGTATGAGTATGTGTTTTGAAAGATAGATTATATATCCAGAGTTTATGCCCAAGTTGCACATGTCAGGGGTCCTAGGAACCTTGGTTAAAACTATTGACTTGTTTACTGTTAATGGGTTGCCTAATTCATGCTTTATTTTAAAATTGGGTCTTACTGTATAGGTAAATTATTTAAAATTTTTTTATAAGCAAGCCTTTCCCATTGCATTGCTGTGTGCTCATAAGAATATATTGTATTTCAGATTAAATGTTGGAATAGTACCAGTACTGCATCAGAAGCTTCTAGCAGTGTTTCAACTGGTGTTGCAGCATCAGATATAACTAATCAGAAAGAAAGTGGAAACCAGTTTATCAAGTTTAGCAAGGCAATGAAGGCATACCAGGAGAGAGCTCAGGCACATGGTAAGAGAGTACAGTAGTTCTTAAAAACTGAGTCAACATCTTATTTACAGGTTCACCGTGTGAAACCCAGGAACCTTTTGATTGAGACAAAGTTGACCTTATTTTACTTATTTTTTCACATTCATATAATTATCATAACCTATTGTATATAGCCAGAGTTGTAAAGTAACAAAATAAATTTACTTGAGTACTGTACTCAAGTAACATTTTAGGTATTTACTTTTTATAAAAGTAATGCAGTATAATTTTTCATTACTTTTACTTTTACCGGTACTTAGTGTGGTTTTCTAATACCTTTACTTCGATGCAATTGAAAAAACAAATCTCATTACTCGTTACATGCCCCAAACAATAGAGTTTTAAATATCCAATCACAGGACACAAGACAAACTTGGAAGCTAATAGTCACAAGCATTTCTTCATGTCTGGACCAGTCATATGCGTTCTTTCATGCCGTTTCATCTATGTAACCAAGCTCTAACAACCAATAAATTACCATTCTAATAATTTAAGTTGTGAAAAGTCAGTATAGCGCATTTTTTCCCAGCTGAGAAAAGATGCCGCCCTCATCAAAATTTACAGCTGATTGGCTGTTGCAAACCTGTCCGATTTTGTCCTGAAGTAATGATGTACTGTATTTATAAATGAGTTTATTCATAATCGTTGGCATAACCGTTTCTTAAGAGAAAGATATTTAGCTAAATTATATAAAGATGCATACATTCATTATATCAAACATAAGCACGTAGAAAGTTTATCAGAAGTATTATACATGAATTAACTGTTAAACTCTGGTAGCAAATTCATGCTTTCGGAAGATGCATTTAATATATACTTATTTTTACCCGCAATAAGGCATGCTAAGACAAAATAAGTATCTTAAAATACTACAATATGCAAAAACAACATTTTAAAAGATCAGAATCACATTGAAATATTACATGACCGTCAGCAGAGGTGGGAAATATGACTGCGAACAACTTCATATTTTTCCGCGCTGACGATAGATATTTCAATGATTCGATCTTTATTGTTTGCATATTATGTATTACCCATTGTCGTAATGTGTATGCTGAAAAATATAGTATATACAACCAGACTTCCGACTTCGCGGGACCTATGACAGATATTTTTTTTTTTTTTTTTTTATATCTATGGGACTTGACCTGGATTTGGGTCCCTAACCGTCATAAGTCAGGGGTCTAGCTGTATTAAATGCATCTTCAGCGTGAATTTTCTACCAGAGTTTAACAGTTAATTCATATACAGTTATCCACTTGCGGTCAATAAAAAACAAAACCCAGAGGGTACCGGTTAAGAAACCGCCAAGGCGAACAACAGAACATATGGGATTAATCTAACAGAAACCAGCCCTTAATTTCAAACTCCACTTTTGACGCACACATAACTGTTGTAGTAAAAATAACATCTTAATTTTGATGGCACATGCAACACAATTATCATCAAGAGAAATAGAGAAATAGCAGTCGGCCAGTTATGTCTGTCTCAAATAACACGGACTCCAACTCCCCCTCTTCTCACACTACACTGCTGGTTTCTTCTGAGAGAGTTCTTGGGGAAACCACTAAATTTTAATAAATACACTCAAACTAAAGTTATGATAATGGGTTAAGTCTATACTGCTGGATTCTTGTAAGACTGTGGGAATATTTTGGACATAAATGTCATATATTTTGCAATAAAGAGAACATATTTACCATGAGTAACATTTTTATCTAAAATTTGTATGTCTATAAAATATATGATGTTTATATTCAAAATGACTTCAAATTGTAAGAATTCCAGCAATGTAAATTATATTCTGGCTGTAATTTGTATGAATTTTATGAGCTAAAACAAATATCTTCAGTTAATAAAAAAAATATTCTTCACTTACACTATCTGTCAATCAAAGTACTCCTACCTTGCTCTTCCAACCATCAAGGCCGGGTCCCAACCCCTTCAAGAGATGTTAGTGAAAAACAAAAATTTTAACATTTTGTATTAAATAATAATTCTCAGATTAAAGTTAGGATAATATAATTGACATTGCTGATTCCTTGTAGACTAGGAATATTTGAATATAAATGTCATATATTTTGCACAAAAGAGAACATATTTACTCAGAGCAAACATTTTATCTTAAAATTTGTATAGTAAAGTCCAAAAAACTGACCGAGAACCGGACTTTTGAAAACTAACTTATTTATTTTTTAGCTTAGGCGTAAGATGCATGAGCGCCACAGCGACAACAAGCTTACTCAATGGTTCCACTTTAAAACGAGGCAATCAAACTACCAGACAACACATAATGAGTATACTGCCTATAAACCGCTTATCTGTCAACCTTGATGCACCAAGAAATCACACTTATGATATTCTCGCTATAGTTCACCCACGCTTTTGAGGGTACAACAAAACCGCCAGTAAACGCTCTATCGCCCCATAAACTGAAACACGAAAGGCCGTATGGCAAATTGTTTACTATTTATTGCCACAACACTTTTTACACTGACACGCTGGTAGTTTCAACAAAAAATATTGTATATTTCCATTCAAGCATTTATTCAACAATTAGAGGAAGACATGTTGTAATACAACAGTTTATCCAACCATTCAAAAGTGATTACGGGTAATACCTTGAAGGAAGAAAGCCAAAGTCATTGTTTTCTTTCCACGCATTTTATCCCACTTCTCCACTTGAATACGGACGCTTATTTCCAGCAAAAATATTACATTCGCAGAATGTATTATAGTAATACACAGTATGAATAGAATATCATTGTAATATAACAGAATTTTAAACCTAAAACTATTAAAAACGAAAGTAACATCTCAAGAAGACGGTAGCTTATGCAAAGTCTTTTTGTTTCTATACGTATTTTATCCTATTTTACATTGAAATACATCACGCTTCAATAAACTACTATTTATCGAATATATTCATATTCAGGCTGTTAGTTTAGGTAAAATATAATGCAGTGATGTAACAGTTTTTAACCGAAAACGATTCGGTCAATAATTCCCCAGCCCTGTTCAAGAAGAGGACTGGGAGAAGAAGCGTTTGCGCTGATCATTACGACAAAGAAATGATTTTGATGGATTTTAATGAAAAATATTCAGAAATATGCATCGTAATATTTATTCAAGTCAATTAGGATATTATTGCATTACAGTACAACAGTTTTTAACTAAACCATTCGAAAAGTGATTACGGTAACATCTTGGAACTAAAGAAAAGTTTAAGTCATTGTTTTCGGCCACGATTTGATCCCACCTTCCACTGTAACACGACGCTATTTCAGCAAAATATTACATTCCGTGAATGCATTATATCGCTATTGTGCATGAACAGAACAATATTTTGAGTCTTACTCTTCCATTTATAGAGTGTCCGCTGTTTGCAATAATGTCTAAAGTAGATAAACTTCGCCAGTGAAGAGAAAGAAGAACACGTTGAAATTGCTGAGTGACAAACTTGAAATAATTAAGAAACTAGTACGTGGTGAGCAATACTGTTCTAATGGAAAATACAACATTGGAAAGTCTACAATTTATGATATCGCAAGGCAAAGAATAAAATTCTAGAATTCACAGCTTTTTTCATTAAACTGTCATGGATAAATGAAGCATGCTATATTTTACAATGAATAAACTATCAAAATGTCATCTCTTATCTCCCAATTTAATTTTAAAAGTACTGCCTGAGAACTGGAAAATCCGAACTGACCCCACTCCAATCCCCAAGCAGTCCGGATTTTTGGACTTTACTGTATGTCTAATGCAAAATCTATGATGTTTATATTCAAAATGATCATCAAATTATAAGAATTCCAGCAATGTAAATTATATTCTGACCGGTAATTTGTATGAATTTTATGAGCTAAAAACAAATATCTTCAGTTAATAAAAAAAGCCATTCTTCATAGGGTAAATAGGATGGTCGGTCGTCTCCTCCTCCCCGCACCCCCCACCAACCGTCCCAAGGAGATGTGGAAACCAGAATATTTAACCTTTTAGTAATAACACACCTCAAACTAAAGTTAGGATAATATAATTGACATTGCTGGATTCCTTGTAAGACCAGGAATATTTGAATAGAGCATATATTTTGTGACAAAAAATAACATATTTACTCAGAGCAAACATTTTATCTAAAAATTTGTTACTCAGAGTAACATTTTATCTAAAATTTATGTCTAATGCAAAATCTATGATGTTTATATTCAGAATGATCATCATATTGTAAAGAATAGCAATGTAAATTATATTCTGGCGGGAATTTGTATGAATTTTATGAGCTAAAACAGGCAGTCAGGCAGGGGGCGGTGGGGCAAATCTAAAATAAGCATCTGGCGGACACTCACGTATGTGTGAAAATAACCGCATTTCTATCTACGGTAGAAATCATGAAGTGAACGCGTTAAGCGGTATTACTATACTTTTGATAAACTTCGTACGTGCTTAATTTTGATAATAATGAATGTATGTATCTTTATATAATTTTTCTTTCTCTTGAAATGGTCATCCTAATGATTATAAATAAACTCATTTAGAAATACATCATTACTGGGACAAAATCGGACAGGTTTGCAGCAGCCAATCAGCTGTAACTCTTGGGGAGGCGGGCATCTTTTCTCAGTTGAGAAAAAATGCACTATAGAATGGCAAATATGAGATCAGTTTGCTCTATAATGAAATTACTCTTTAAATATTAGTCTAATTTGTTAGCTTAGTTGACAAATTGTCATCGGATGGTATGAAACCTGTGCAGAAAAAAGTACTTATTCTTATGTGATAATTTTGTTTACTATTTTGCACAAGGTGATGTTCATATGTTACCCAGACTCAGCTATTTCTTTGTCTCGAGTGGCGCCAAAATGGCCTTGGACATAACTGTTCTCTACCATAAGGTTTATATACTTTTACGTGGATGATTTTTCCATGAAGTAGTAAAGGAAGATAGAACAATGATAATGTTCTGAATACTTGACAAAGTT